TTCCGGTTACGGCACTTCAAATAGGTTCTCGTCTATAGCAGTTTGTTTTAGTTTCCGAAAACAAGGTTCAGTGATTTTTTGAACGTGGACACTCAAGCGGTAGTAGACGTCGTCGCCTATGTTCAGTAAGCATTTAAATTCATCCCGTTAAACAACAGTGTTATGGTTTAACTCGTACCTTCACAGTAGAAAGCAATGTGTGGTTGTTAATGGAAAACAGTCTGACCTTTTGATCCAACAAAAGGGTGTACCCCAAGGATCAACTCTGGGCCCACTTCTTTTCTCTATTTACATAAATGATTTATCTTCTTGTCTCATTCATTGTTGTACTCACCTTTATGCTGATGACACTGTCATATATACATCCAAATCAGATTTTTCACAAATTCAGATCTCTCTTCAATCGGATTTTAATATCTTACAGGACTGGCTATCACACAATAAACTACTGCTTAACAAAACAAAATCTTATACCATGGTCTTTGGTACCAGGCAGAAGCTCAAATCCAAACCTAATGTAGGAATAACATGTAAGGCACTTCTCTGCATAAAGTTGATAGTTTTAAATATCTTGGTGTATGGCTAGACTCTGAACTTTCATTTAAACTACATATAAAGCATGTAATACAAAAAGTCAATTACGGAATAGGTGTTTTACACCGCTCTCGCAATTTTTTTACGCTCAGTGTCCGAAAGAGAATTGCTTCTCAACTTATTCTTCCGATTATGGACTATTGTGATGTTGTCTACCAAAATGCACATAAATCAGATCTTGCTCCACTCAACATAGCCTACAATAGACTATGCAGATTTGTTCTTGGTTGTCCTTTTCGTACACATCACTGCACAATGTATAACCAACTTAAATGGCCTTCTTTAAATGTAAGAAGACACACACATTGGCTTCAGCTGATATTTAAATGCATTTATCTTAACTATCCCCCTTATTTAAAGCAGTATTTCGTACCCTACTCGTCAAATCATCAAGTTAGACATTCTGTTCAGATTTATTTCTCTGTCCCCTCTGCAAAAAAATTGATTGGCAGAAGAGCGTTCATTATCAAAGCCCCAACAGACTGGAATACTTTACCTGCTGCTATTAGATCTCTTGCATCATTGGGTATGTTTAAACATGCATTATCATCTCGCTTTCAACTGGTCTTTACTTGTTATTAATGAAACTGATTTTGATGAAACTGATTTGCTCAAATGTCTCAGATTGTAATGATTGTATGCATTGCTTGAATTGTACTTAACAGACTGTATGTGGTTTGTCTTGTGTGTCATGTTTTGCATTTTGTCTTTTTGTTTATGTATGTCTGTAAGTTGTTGCTATTGTCGGGACCCCCTTGAAAACGAGATGGTGCATCTCAAGGGGTTTATCCCAATGAATAAAAATGTCTATATATATATAAACCTGCATACAAACAGATGAACAAATGCAAATGTATTTGAATGTAAAGTGTCGTCCAGGCAAAGTGTTGGACTTTCTGTTTTGCAGCTCTGCACTCAAACCCCTTGACTCGCCTCTACACTCACCTCACTGGAGGCTAGACTAAGTAAGAGTCTAATTCTGTTAACAGACTGCTCTCTTCACACTGGGCAAGCTGTGCTCAATGGGGCCTGATTTATGTGCTGACAGGCTGTGGAGGCTTAGTCGGCTCAGTGTGAATTGGAAGACATATCACTGCTGGAAACTAAATAAAAAATCAATGAGAGTGAGGCTGGTTGGTTTGGGAGAGCGTCCGCTCGGCTGGAGTTTAACAGTGTTTTAACTCTCCGCTGACTGAGGCCGGGGGAACAGCCATTTATTTTACCCCCTCCACACCATGTCTCCTTCATCCCATGTTTTAATAAATCAGTTTGGTGTGTGTGCATGTGTTTGTGTGGTTTACCTCTATTTCCTTCTATGTCAAACACCGGGAAGTATTTGAGGGTAAACACACATAAAACAGTGTTAAGCTACCTTTTCAAACTCAATCATAGCTCTATACATTTATAATAATTTCTATATATATCTATATATTGCAGACTTACTCCTCACTAGGGGGGAGGTTTTGCAGTATCAACATCACAAATTGGTCAATTTTACTTTTGTTTTCACACTCTGGACAACAGCGTAGCAAATCAAATCGACAGATGAGCGATAACGTTTGTTCGGCTCATGACGGAACAGCATGCCGGTGGTCTGCTGCACCACTGGGTCTCACGTCCCCCCTCAGCATCGCTCCCCACCGCTCCAGAGAAGGACTAGCTATAGCTAACAAGCTAGCTATCCCTCTCCGGAGCTGTCTACTCTCTTCCTGGGAAGCTCAACCATGCTGGATGGCCTCATTTGTTTGTGTTGTTGCCATTTCTTGTATAATAGTCATCTGACTATTATACAAGAAATGGCAACAATAGCTATGGTTGACAGTGTAATGTCTGCTCTGCGCCAGTTCCATTTCTATGGAACAGTCAAGTATATAAATGTCATCTAAATTATGAATTATGAATTGGGCACTAAGGCTTGCAGTGTGAACTGAGACCCAAATGTATATAATTACATGGAAATAAACCATTGAGAGAACAGACAAAATGAAACAGTGAATCCCCCAATGTCCATTTTTTGTTTATGCTAAATAAAATCATTGTGCAGCTATTTCTTATTATCATTACTTTTTGAGTAAAAGGTTTGGGAAGGCCAGCAGACCTTAATGAAACATTTTCATGAGACTTATCCTTAGACAAATACGTGTGCTGTGCCCTCTCACCCCTGCTGCAGCCCTCTCTGACTGGCACTCCCTGATCACCCTAATGAGGTTCGGGCACAAACCGGGGCAAGAGGGCACCACCATTATCTTGTGTCTCCCCCATTAAAATCACCAGCCATGACCACCAAACACAGAGCCAACCTCCGCTACAATTAGCGGATAAAAAATTACCCAAATATACTGTAAACTAGTATAGCTGCTGTGAGGATGCAGAACACAGGCATAAGCAAGAGGTGTTATGAAGGAGAACTGGGAGCCATGTTGCGCAGAGGGCAGCCAGTGATTAGGAGCATCAACCCATCCATCGTCACGGATATGATATTGTTTGGGTGGTGACAGAGTGACAGGGGTAATTACTTTAGGAGAGGTCACCCCGAGTGGACGTTGGGGGAGACAACACTGCTGGCAGCCCCCCGTGTCACTGACAGCAACCTACTGAACTCTGCAGACCCCTGCTGCAGTAAGCACACAGGGAAACAAAGGTATACATGTTAATCTGTCGTTTGACCCGCACACTCACACACACACACACACACACACACACACAAACACAAACACACTCACACACACACACACACACACACACACACACACACACACACACACTAGCAGAGAGAATCACATTAGCTCAAAATCATTTATTTTCATCATTTCGTTTTTGCTGACCATTTTGAAACATGATGTTGTAAATGGTATCCTGTTTTTATTTAATTTTTTTATTTAATCGTTTATTTAGCAGGGACAATTCACAGTAATGAACACTTAAAACATTAAAATGCGTCAAGCGTAACAGTGCCAGATTTAGCTTTGAGCTCATTTCCATCCGCAGTCCCTCACGTAAAGCATTTAAGAAAATTACATTTTACAAACATAGCAAAAACAAAATACATGATATGCAAAAAGTGCAAAAGAGCAAGAGCAGCATACACAAGTATTTACCACATGGTAATACAATATAGCAGCAACGACATATAAAGTTCAAGAGAAGATACAAGAGCTACATAAAGGGCAAGAGGAGACACCCCTGTGTTAAAGTGCATTTAGCGGTGATTGCACGTCTGTTTGTTTCTTAACCATTCTTTGAGTTGACATTTGAAGCTATTGAGAGTGGGACAATCCTGTATCTCAGTTGGGAGGGTATTCCACAATGAGCTGCCTTTAACGGAGAGGACATTTTGTCCAAAAGTGGTCCGTCTGCGGTGGACCTCACAGTCTCCTCTGGTTTCTGACCTAGTGCAGCGTCCAGTGTGTTTTTGTCGATGAGTTCCCCTAAGGGAGGGGGGGAGGGGGGGCCATTCCATGTAAACATTTATAAATAAAGCACATACTATTAAAATTGTCAAAACTCGAGAAATTGTGTTTATCAAGGATGGTACAGTGGTGGTATGAATTTGGCTTTCTGTCAAACACCTTGATAGCTCTCTTGTACAGCTGTTCTATGGGTTTCAGGTTTGTGGCACAAGCAAACGACCAGTTTGTCAAACAGTATTCAATGTGGGATAGAATCATACAGTGGAGGTATGACTTTGCAGCATCGACAGTTAAGAAGGGTCTAATTTGTTTAACATTTTGCAAGTTCAATTTAATAGTAGCCTATTTGATACTTTCTTATTATGTTTCTTAAAAGTCAAGTTTGAGTCCAATATGACTCCAAGATACTTGAAGTGGGAGTTCTATTTCTGCTCCTTTTAAACACACGTTGGATCCTTCGATTTTGACTGGTCGTTTACTGAACATCATGCATACTGTTTTTTTTACGTTTAACTGTAAGCAAATGTTGTTCAGCCAGTGTTGAACCTTGTCCAAAGCATTTGAGAGACAGGATGAGATCATTTCAGTATTTTTCCCATGTACAAAGATGACCGCATCATCGGCATACATTTGCACATTCAACTCAGGACATATATTAGGCAAGTCATTAATGTACAGTGAAAACAGTAATGGTCCAAGAATGGAACCTTGTGGAACCCCAACAGGGTTCACAAGGAAGGGGGATTTGGTACCGTTCAAATCCCCCTTCCTTGTGAACCCTGTTGGGGTTCCACAAGGTTCCATTCTTGGACCATTACTGTTTTCACTGTACATTAATGACTTGCCTANTCTACTACAAAAGGTACGACACACACACAAACACACACACACACACACACACACACACAACACACACACACACACAACAGGCACAAGGGACTCGCTTAGTATATGTAAAGCTACTTTGTGTAACCAGATATACTTACTTCAGCGGCTCGTCACTTTATTTATACCAATTTCAGTGGTCAGATGATGGACAGTCGATTCTTTTAGAGAGGGACTCCGATCTTGTACACACCTCTTAACCGAGAAGCGTTCTACACGAACAGATATCAAGTATACATTAAAAAATACTCACTTCGCGTCCGACACAGCGTTTAACGCTAGTAACAGGTGGTACGTCAACAACAAGTGTGATCCCTCAGCGTTACACTTATTTCAGTCCTAATAGCGTCATGTCGACCTACATGTCGCGAATTGAAATAGGTTTGTATCAGTGTGGAAAAACACTGTATAGTACCCTATATGAAGACACGATCAACATCGACCTTTGTATATTTTTTTAGTAGGAGGGATTTAAGGTCAGTTAACATTGCAAAGAAACACCCTTAAGGTTAGTTTTAAATAAAATGATTTGTAACCGTGTGTGTGTGTGTGTGTGTGTGTGTGTGTGTGTGTGTGTGTGTGTGTGTGTGTGTGTGTGTGTGTGTGTGTGTGTGTGTGTGCGCAGGGAGGAGCTGACATATGAGATGTTGATCCTGGAGCCGCGGACGTCTGATGATGAAACTCCTGAATCTGAAGCCTCCATCGGCACAGCGGACAGCTCGGAGAACATCACCATGGAGACGGAAGGAGCCACATCAGACCCCTTTGGTATGTGTGTGTGTGTGTGTCGTAGCTCTCTGTTTCTGGACCCAGATTTAGAGTCGTCTCTGAACATGGCGGGAGATCTTTCCTGGTTCACCAAATCCTTATCTGACCTGGAGCACAGAACCGGAACTTTTTTTTTAATTAAACATTAAACAAAAGCCATAAAAGTACTTAGTAATATTTTTCTTTACTCTATTGATGATCTATTGGTGTGCGTGCGTGCTGTATGCCCCCCCACTAATTACTCAAAAAAAACACCCACAAATAGATTTTAAATATATACAATGTACCATCTGCTATTAAAGGGCCAGGTTTTCTGATTTCTTAATCTTTTACCCTTCTTGGTTACATTTTCACATTTTCCCTTTTGAATTGGCGCTTTGTCAGGTAAAAAAAAATGATACAAAGTCACTTTTCAATAGAAATGTATCACAAGGACACAGCAAGAATCACACATCAAAAGCTAGTCTGAAAGGTGAGATGTAGTCAGTGTTTCAGTGTTGTAGTCAGTCGATCTCTCGCCATGTCCAGAGACGACTCTAAAGCTTCTCCAAGGTGGCGAGGTTAGTGCAGTTTCTGATTTGTCGTGGTCATGAGTTCCAGATCGTAACCCTCAGCTGCTCTCTCCCCGCAGAGCGTGGCCCTTATCACGGCAGAAAGTCGGAGTCAAAAAGCCGCCGAGCTTTACGCCGTCAGCCCGACTCCCAGGACTCAGCGGACTCCATCTCCACCGTCTCCTCCTACCACCCGTCCTCCTCTCTGTCCTCCAACGCCTCCGGCTCGCCCTCCCCTCACTACCGCTTCCGCTCCTCCTCCTCCGGGCCCCTGCTCTCCTCCTGCGGGCTGGGGGCCCCGTTGGCAGAAACCGAGGGAGGCCAAGGAGCCGCCAAGAGCCGCCACCGGATCCGTCTGAGTCGCAGCTCGCCTCGGGAACCCTCGGGGGGGATAAGGAGGGACTCTGACTTCGGCTCGGGGCCACAGCAGCTGGTTCTGTACGGCAGCAACGAGTTCATGGTGTGAAGACGAGGAGGAGGAGGGGAGGGGCCGCTGAGGTTACAAGTGTAGGACATGAGGAAGGGGAGGGATATGTGCTCTGTGTCGCCTCCTAATGCTTCCTCTTCTTCTCCAGAGTCAGAGCAGGAAGATGTGGGGATGAAAAAGGACTGGAAATATGTAAAAGAGGGACAAAAAGACAGGGGATGATTCTTCACATCTGGAAGCGAGTGAAGACATGTCTCGGTCCGAGGAAAGAGACCATTGAGGAAAAACCCACACCTGCAGAAGCCAAATCTTACAGAGCCCCATCTTAATGTTTTAGCATGTGGGCAGGTGGAGAAGAGATGTAGCCATACTGACTGACCTGGCTTTGTCTGTACCCAGCGCCAAGTTAGTCTGCTTTTCACGTTTACACAGAACACACAGGCTGCATGCATCTCCATCATCACTTTCTCCTCCGTCAGTTTGAAGAGACTGTACAGAAATATGTTACATTATTATTATTATTATTATTATTATTATTATTAAAGAGGGAAAATATGTACAGAGAAAGAAACTCCAATGCTGCTCCGTGGTTGTTCATTGTTTAATATTTCTACTTCCTGTTTTCTATTTGACAAAGTGAAGTGTCAGGAATCCAGGTTCCACTTTTGTTTCTGTGCTGGGTGTTTTGCTCGGTTTACCGTCATTTGAGTTCTTTCTCTTTTCCTGTTACACAATGAACAGAGCCAGCGTTGGGTGTCCTCGGGTCGTACTCTGGAGAAATAATAATAGAAGGAAAAGCTGTGGGTGTGCGCTCTCAGAGATACGAGTCTGGTGGTGTCACGTTTACTTTACCGGATGTGTCAAATGTCAATCAGCCATAAGTGTGTTGTATCTGCGAGCCTTCTGTTTCCCCTTCTGTTTTACTCAGAAGCATCAGTGTTACTACGTCAGGACTTGAATTTTTTTTTTGTATCCATCTATATAAATATATATGTTATTGCTGTATTATAGGTGTTGTTATTGATATCAAAGATGTCATTTGTTTGTTGTCAATATTGTTTATTTTTGTTCAGATGAAAGCCATTTTTTCGTGTGTGTGTGTGTGTGTGTGTGTGTGTGTGTGTGTGTGTGTGTGTAATTCCTTCCTCTGTATCAATGCCCACTTTGTGTAGTCTTCATTACACACACACACACACACACACACACACACACACACACACTAGTGTTTCCCCTAAACATGTTGACTTGCTAAAGTGAAAATGACTTTAGGTGACACTAACTCTGACTTATGAAATCTTTAATAAGTCTAAGATTCGTTGCACGCTTTCATACCGTCCATGATGTCCTCCGAGCCACCCAGAATACTCTTCTTCTTCTTCTTCTCTTTCTGTTTCTTCTACTTCTTCCTCTTCTTCTTCCTCCATCCTATTCTCTCGCCGCTCTGGCTGTGAAAAGTAGCATTATTTACTCTTGCCTGTTAACCAGACACAAACAAGTAGCAACTAACTCAGACCGCCCCCGTCTTTCTGCATATTCTAACTGTGTAATATTCCTTGTTTGGGGCACACTCAGTAGCTTAACAGCAAAGATGTCTCCGTACTTTAGTTGCAATATCTCTCCTTGCTTGCAGCGCCTGTGATTCGATGCTTTTGAGCAGCATTTGCTCGGATCTCGCAACACAGTCAGTGTTAAACAAGTCCTCCTTGAAGCTGGACGTCTCTTTGAAGACCGTGCTGATCTCCGTTTTAATGCAAGTGTGTTGTCTTTTTACAACATTAAACTGTAGACCTGTAAAGATAGAAAAAAAACTGTTTCAGAGGTGAGCTGAAAGGACAGTTCCAAATATCTTTGAGCTGGTATTTAATGGGATGGAAACATGTCCAGGCTGTTAATATGGCAACAACAAAAAAAAGTGAATGTACCTGTCACTGGAAAGCATGCTCTGCTTTCTCTGGTTGTTTTTGTTCCTCTTTTATACACAGTGTATGTACTATTTATGATCATGCTTTTGGGGTGTACATTGGTTTAAAAGAATCTGTTATAAAAGGTGTTATAAAAGGATATATTATCCTGTGTACGGTTCATTATCTACTATTAATCATGGCAACATTTTAACAGGCCGCACTAGGTCTGTCATGTTTGTGCTACGAAGTGAGAAACAAAAAAAAGAAAAGCGCTGTGTCTCTCTGTCTGCGCCACTCTGGACACGGTTATGTATAAGGTGCAATTTGTGTTATATTTCTTTTTTTTAATGATACAAACATGTTTATGGTTGTAAGAAAAAAAGACTTCATCTGCTTATTAAAAAAGCAAAACTGCAGCCAAACACGAGTTGAGTTATATTTTTGTCTCATGGATGTTATTTCCCTTTTCAACACTTGTATTTTCACACGTTTGTGTTCCTTTCCAGTATAAGATATAGTTAAAGGCAGGGTTCGAGTTATGTGGGAGCCAATGGGAGCTGACCTCCCATAAGGTGGGGTCTGAGCTCCCACGGACGCAGTGAAATCATACATCTGTGGGGGTCGCTAATACATTACCAACAACCATTATTTTAATCACAAATAATGCATGTGTCAATGTAATGAGTATTATTTACGTTAACGAGGTAAATAGGCTAAAAGGAAAACATGTTTTCCAAAAGAACTACGCATCTCTTGAATGACGATATGCCTGCACTGCACCTCCAAGGTGCGCAATACATTATTGCGCAATCTATGCCTGTGAGCGTGCTGCGCGGGCCGAGATGATCTGTGTGTGCGTAGTTGAACCTTTTCATATTTAAGTTTGTAGCAAGTAGAGGGCTGCTGGTGTGTGTGTGTGTGTGTGTGTGTGTGTGTGTGTGTGTGTGTGTGTGTGTGTGTGTGTGTGTGTGTGTGTGTGTGTGTGTGTGTGTGTGTGTGTGTGTGTGTGTGTGTGTGTGTGTGGGGGTGGGTGGGTGGGTGGGTGTGTGAGAACCGTGGTTAAAGGTGCTATGTCCTGTTAACCTGGTATGCTTGACGTCTGAAGAAAATGTGCATTCCTTGGTTGGAAAGACAATGACAAAAACAGGTGAGTATAGTGAAAATATTGAACCAGTAGATCAACTTTATCAGTTCATTTTTAACATGAATACATTATTTACATTAAGACAATTATATTTTGTCTAACAAGTTTTCCGAATGTTTATGTTTGAATACGCAAATGACCCATTATATAATGCTTTTTCGAGCTAGATTTGGGATCTATTGGTTCTTTCGACTAGTCTAAGACAAGTACAAAAAAAAGAAGCAAAATAGACAACTTCAAAATCGACAGTTCACTAGTTTGTAGTGACTTTTCTGGCGAAATGTGGCATTTCTTCACGTGTTACTGCCACCAACAGGAAGGTATGTTCATTGCCACATAACACTGTAAATCTTAAAGAGGCCCTATAATGCTTTCTACCTTTCCTGTAGTGTGTCATTCAGATTTTGTGTGCATGTAAATGTTCTGCAAAGGCTAAAATAGTTCCTTTCCCACACTCAAAATACAAATATGAACCTGAAAAAGAGAATAATATCTATGTCCTCTTTAAATAGGCTTCATTCAATACTGGAAATTAAATTCAACATCCAGTTTAGCCCTTTTTTCCTAGCACATCTTTTTAAGAGAAGAATCTTTTTAAGACAGATATTTCACAGGCTTGAATAATCTAAATAACCAAGTGATTTATTGTTGGTTTATTCCGTTTAGAGGCCTTGGCAATCATTAATATTACTCGTATCACTTGTGCTCGTCTTACCATCGCAGGTCAAATAGTTTCCTGTCAGAATAAGGATTCTTCATAAAGTAATTCGCCCTCAGGGAACAAAGCTGGGTGTATCATGTCATCGGACGCAATGGATTTGAATACTGGATTTTATGTAAATGCTTGGTGTGGCACTCTTTTGTTCTGATGTATTTATATCTAATGTGGTATCAGTTTTATTTCTCAAGAAACAGTGTGCCGGTTTACTATCGATCTTGACTTTTAATATCAGAGCCAGTTGGTTTGATTTGTATTTTACAGTGAACTTATACATGTATTTATAATGACTGATTTATAGATCTATTGATTTATGGAGAACATACATTCTAGATATGATACACCTTTATTGGTCCTATAGTAGGGATATCCAGGAAGCAACCTCTTAAGTTATGTATTTATTTGTATATTGACTATTATTATATTAATTGAATACAACATCTTAAATATTTATATTGTTGTGTTTTTATTCTATGGCATGGTGGTTGTTTAATTATTTTATTTTAAAAGATATAAGTTGCATTGTCTTTCTTCATAAGGGTGAAAAGTGAAACTAAAAGAGGAGCAGGGAAGTTTCCCCCGTCACGTGAAATTAGGTTTTGTTTTGCAAATATGCGACCAGCCTGTTGACACGCGATCAGATACTAAAACACACACTCATACACACGGCCCGACTATGTAGCTGACAGGACGGATGGGAGGTGGAACAAAACAAGATACATTGAGTTTCTTTTCCACCTAAATGAAACTTAATGTCCAAAGGTTTTGATATGATGTGGCTGTGATTCACCTGATGACTCCTCCCGTGCCAATATAACAGCTGACTGCACGTGAAATCTGGCACTCAACCCAGCTGACACAACACACACACTGCAAGGTGAGTCCATTCCTTTCATTTCTTCTATTGTATTTCTTATTTTATCAGTAAAATACCTTCACAAATAACCTTACATTAACTTTTGAATGGCTAACTTACATTTTGAAAGGTTTTATAAACTATTTGGATTATTATTTGTAATGCTTTGTCAGAAATATATATTATTTTATGGATGTATTCCTTCATGTTTACTCTTTTATTACTTGCAGATGTCTGGTGAAAAAATCATTGTTTTCTTTGACCTGGAGGCCACTGGTTTAGGTAACTATCATTACTTTTATGTCTGTTTGACTGCTTATTAATACTTATCAGCAGTGGTGGAACTCAGATAAGTAAAATACTAAATGGTAGAAGTAACTGTCCTGCATTCAATCAAAAGTGCAAAATTGTTGACATTAAAATGTACATAGAACCAAAAATAAAAGTATTCGTTATGTGTAATGGCTCTTTTCAGAATCATTATTAAATGACTGGTTTTATGATTATTGATTTAAGTGTGTTTATCTAGAGGTATAACTAATTGGAATTGCTTTACACACTGCTGCTGGATAGCCTATAATTGTATTTCAAGGTTTATTTAATAATTAATGTATTTTTTGAATTAGCCAATAATCTTAATGTAAAAGTAACCAATGACTACAGCTGTCAAATAATGGTGGAGTAAAAGTATAAATTAACATAATCTGAAAAAAACTTGGGTAAAGTAGATTAAAGATCACCCTTTATATATCCCTACCTCACTGTACAACAATATATGTTAAAAAATTCACCTTTTTATGGTCATTTGTGATTAAATACATCCGTTCTTTGGGTGTAAAGGTTCATATTTGATATACTCTTTATTATCACTAAATATATGATATCAAAGTAGTATTTTTTATTTTACACTTGACTAATATGGACTTCTATTTTTAATAACAGTGTCTAATTTGGCATTTAATCAACCTACAAACCTTGTTTTTTTAGATAAAGTGTGTTTAATATTTAATTGTATACCAGACTATAAAAATTCCATTAATATAAACCATCACAATAATAGTTTTATCAAGGCTCCTCCTGTTATCTGGCACGCGTCAGCTGTAATTTATAATGTGATATGGAGGACTTGCTGTTCCTGTTTTTATTGGTTTCGAGATGTATCATTCTCTGTTTGCAATAAAAGGGTGGAGTATCACCTGCTGTCGTTACACAACAATAACTAGGCTATTAGCACAGATGACATCCGGGCCAAACCACAAGCCCCTCTGGTGCCACAGGAAACCTCAGCTTCATGACAGACCCCAACAGGAAGCAACATGCAGATTTATATCATAGAAATTATAAAAAAGTAATACATTAACAAACATTGACATTAGAGAGATTTAGGGCTAAATGCAAAATCAGCTATGCGGGGCCACACTCAACATGTTTATATTTGCAATGGATAAAATGACTGACTCAATACTTCAGGTGCATTTGTCAGTAGTTTATGACTTTTAACAAATAATTAAGGAATAAATTGAGGTTATTGATAATAAATCTGTACAATAGCTGCCCACTGCTCCTAGTACTAGACTCCTGGTACTAGGATGGGTTAAAAGCAGAAAACAAATATCACTGTGTGTGCTGTGTGCTCTGCATGTGTGACCGTTACAGAGGGTTTCATCCCTCCCAATTCTATCTATTCTATACAAATAACTACACAGGTTGCAGCCTTGGTTCCTAAAAATGGTCTGAAGGTAAAACCAGAAGCTGAGAGAACAGTCATTGTGACTTTAAAGCGAAGTTCCTGATTCTCTCATGCAAATAACTCATGAGCTGCAGCCGCTGCACTCAGTCATTACCACACATTTAGCAGGATGACGTGACAGAAAACTCTGATGCAGGTATGAGCGTGTAATGGCTGCACGCGCCACCAGAGGCCGCCACCTACCCAGAGATAAAAAACAATAACTACAACAATCAGATGTTCACAAATGTTTTTACTAAAACATGTAAATCACTACAATTTAGAGGCAAATATTTCCCTTTTAACTACATTTATTTGAAAATTAAAACTAAACGTAAAATTCAGTCTCGGATTAATAATCCCAAATATAATAAACGTCTATCACATATACATTTAAAATTAAAATGAGACTTAATTGATCCCATTGTGACATTCACAAACGACCTGATAGTATCTACATTTAAATACAAATATTTTACCAGCTGCAACATTAAAGTGATGAACAAATAATGCATCAATAATTATAAAAACAATAATTTAAATTATTCTAAAAAAGGCTCTTGTGCAAACTGAGTACTTTGCTGTTTGTACTTTAAAGGTCACCCATTAGACTCTTGTTCAACAATATATTATAGGTCTCAGATATGTACAAAACATGTCTCTGAAGTGTTTGGCTAAAAAAACAAAAAGAGATCTCGCATTGTAGCATGCCATACACCCCTCTGTTTCAATAATAATGATAATAATAATAGATTACATTTGTTATAGCGCCTTTCAAGGGACCCAAGGCAGCTTTACATGCTGTGAACAAACAAACAAGTATGGCAAATAATAAAGTAAAAATTATATAAATATTCAAAATTCAGGCCTGATTGATGGATTTCTTGCAAATAAGGAAAAGGTCATTACATACAGCAATATGAAATTGAGTTTCTGTTCCTCCAGATGCTGCTGCTTGCATTGCAGGAAACATATTCTGCAGAAAAAAAGCAGAAGGAAATGCAAAACATCCTCTTGAAATGTCGGACATTTTCGTTTCTGTGGTCTTTGATATGCTTCAGTTGTTAAGACTTGACTTGACTTCCTTGCTGAGACTACACTAAAGTTGACACATTAGCCTTGCACACAGAATGGGAAAGGGGGAAATAGCAGTTTGCTGACAAGACAATATTTGTTTTATATATATACATTTATTAGTGCTTATATAGCCTACAGTAACAATCTTATGTTATATACCTAAAAAGTGAATTGTTGAATTCTTATATTTACATAATATTTCACTATATTATGTTATCTTTAATGGACCTTTTTAATTTAAATTATTATGTTTTTATGATTTCTTATTTTAACAAATTTGATTTGATCTTAATACTACTTACTTGTGGTTGTAAATGTTGTATTTTTCTGTTATCCTCTGTTAAAAAAAAATATCACCCGTCACTGGCTTGAGTTTCAATATCAGGATCCATGTATGTATTGTCCTTGCAAGAATGGAAGTAGTCATCGCATACAGAGCTGCATGGGAAAAATAGTTCCCTGAACAGTGTCCTTCACATGCTGATATACAGCGAGGGAGTTACACAGTCACAAGATGGAGGAATACCAGTTTAAAGCAGTATTCTATGCTTAGTTCAGATTACCCACGTAAGCAATAAACATGACAGTCATATGTCTATCTCCATAGGGGCTGAATCATCATGTTAATCGTAGGAACATAGCTATCGTATGTTCAACACAGTGTCTCATACATACAGTAATCATACATCCGGTTACGTACACATTTACAGTTGGGCTTCTGTTATCATGCTATTCTGATATTGAAAGAGTTCATTCAGTATTTTCCCAACATCCTCATTTAATCAAATTCCTCTACTTTCAGACACTGATGTGTGCGACATCATCCAGTTGGGGGCCATCTGTGGACGGATGGACTTCAATCGCTACATCCTGCCGACCCGCCCCCTCACTGAGAGTGCCAAGCAGGTGACGGGTCTGACCTGCAGGGATGGCTGCCTGTTTCTCCGCGGGACTAAGGTGGAAACCGTCCCTATGGAGGAAGCTCTCACCTCCTTCATCGACTACCTCCGCTCTTTCCGTAAGCCTGTGCTGCTGGCGGCCCACAGTGCAATGCGGTTTGATGCACCTGTGATCACCAGGTGGCTGCGTAAGCACTCCCTGCATACAGAGTTCAAGCAGGTGGTCTCTGGGTTTGTGGATACCTTCCCGCTGAGCAAGAACCTCCATCGGGGTCTGAGCAGTTATTCTCAGGTCAATATGGTGCGTCACTTCCTGGGAAAGACCTACAGCGCCCACAATGGAGTGGAGGATGCCAGCATGCTGCAGGAGCTGTTCAACTCATGGAGTCCCAGCCAAAAGAGCATCTCCAGGGTGACCTACTCGACTTAAAGGTCACCTATTGTGCAAAATCCACTTTATCATGACTTTTATACATGAACATGTGTCCCCTCTGTGGAAAGAGACTCTGAAAGTTTCAGGAACAAAGATTCTCTCTCTTTTTGTCCTGATCCATTTCTATAAAAACTAGGAATGGGAATTTGAAAGCAAAATGTATATTTGAATATTCGACCCCCAAAAAACGGTTAACCGAATAACCAAAATGTACACATCCTATACAAAATATTTGAAACAGGGCTGAAACAGAGGGGATTATGGGATGCTGCAATGGTCTGTTTGGTATTTCGAGTCACTAGCACTTCAGAGACATGTTTTGTTTATTTGAGACCTATAATATATAGATGAAAAACAGTAGGGGACCTTTAAAGAAAGATTAGCTACAGAAAATATACATTATATTTATATATTAATTTTCTTTGTTACACTGTTCATTCTGCAAGTTTGTTTAATGTAACATGTGTCATAATCACAGGTGTTTGTCTTAAATTGTTGCACTTTTTTCCCACAAATAAAGATTTATTTTCTATTTGATTCTACCAGAAACTCTGGACTCTTTTTGAAATTACACTTTCATCTGTGGAGAAATGTCTCTCGTCATTAGACCAGCATGCAAAACAGCCTCATGCTTTGTTTTGTTAGTGAAGCTTCATTTATCAGATACGCACATGCATGTTAAAAGTTTAAAAGTAGAGACACAATGCACAAACTGACAATATCTGACAAAAACATATTATAAACAATAGTTATTTACAATATCCCTGAAATGCAGCAAATAAGACGTAAACAACAGGGGAACTAGTACAGAGCCAGACGGGACACCACATAGGACAGTGTAGAACAGGGGTCTCCAACACGTAGCTCGCCGGCAGCTTTTCAGTAGCTCGCCGCTCGATTATCGATTATAGCGTAGTAAGGTTGCCTCTGTGATTTTGGACAATTTTATTTTTGAATTTTTTCTGTCACACGAATATCAAATTGGTCGGTGACGCAGAGATTAAGGAACAGACGTGATGACACCACACACGGAGCAGTCTGCTTTCTCCAGCAACACCAGTCCAGAACCAACAGCAGAATGACCCGCTCTGAATCAGGCCCTGTCGCTGCGGCTCAGATGCACACAGGGAGGGATTTGTGTTTTTTGAAAAACACTCGTTATCGTCATGTCAGGTTTTTGGTTCACTGATTGAGATATGATGAAGCTAACTTAATCTCATACATTCATGGGATTTATGTAAGACAGAGAATGTAAGTGTGCACCCAGATGCAGTATTTTTGTTTTGATATGCTGTTGTAAATACTCCTGTTGTCTGCTGTGTTCAGATTTAAGTCATGTGTGTGATGCCACATTCAAGACATTCAGTGTTTTTTTTTTAACAGAAGACCGTTGCTCGAAGATGCAGCTCGACTGCAGAAGTAGCCTATTAGTTTTTTGTTTTTGAGGATGGAACAATTTCACACACAGATATAGGGAGGCTAGACCTATACAGTTGATATGGTATTATGGTTTATAATTTCATGTCAACACGAAGAAGAAGAAGAAAAAGATGGCTGAACTGTTCAGTGTCAATCCTGTGGAGATGGAGATTATAAATCTCCAAAATCATGTTCAGCTTTAAGTCTCAGCAAAAAT